ACTTGTAATCTTGATTTGATGTGAGAGGAGTTTCTGTGGCTACAGCTATATAACTCTAAGTGAACATATAGGAGTCAACAGTGAACCCATATGCAGTAGGCTCAGTGCTGCACAGCAGTTATAGAGCTGCTTATGGCCTGGACAGCAGTTTCTTAGAGTGACATTAACTCCCCACCCTCCGTTACCTGCTTAAAACTTCAAGGTCTGGTCTATGTTTGCATCTTCTTGTAGGCAATAATCTACAGTTAAGAGAGGTTTGACTTGCTTCACTGAGACATTTATCTTTACTGTGCAAAAGAAAGTATTTCTCAAAACCTAAATATGGAGTAATTCAGAAAAGTGATCTCTGGAGATTTCAGGGGTTACTCTGAAGATCATGAAAGGCAACTAAAAAAGTGAGACTATCATTTTAAGACTTAAATTTCCTCCTGCTGGTTCAGTAAGACTTCCACAGGAGTTTAGCATTGGTGCAGCACTGTTGCACTGGTGCAGCACTGCAAAGATGAATGAACATACTCTTGAAACTGGCTCAATAACTGAAGCACTGGCCAACTCAGAACTGTTTTTACTTTTGAATTTACAGGAAGAGAAAAGTTCTAGCCAAAAATCTTGCTGGGAATTTTTGTTGTGGTTTCTTTTTTTAACTTACTACCAAACATCAAGCTGGCCCTGGTTGTAATTCTGATGAAACATTTGGGAACTCTATCAAAGTTCTTCAGTTTTGGTTGCAGTGATGGTTAATGGGATTTTAATCTTGTTGGCATTTGAATCAGGTAGGAAGTGGGGAAAGCCCTTAAAATGCTCAATTGGCTCTAATACCCTTAACATCTGTTGAAGTTTTTGTTCTAGTTATATATGTTCTCTGGCTGATTTCAGTGCTGCAGGAATTCTTAACGCCTCATCTTTACTCTCCCCAGCAGCTGTCACTGGGCATTGCCTCTGAGAGCTGGAGGCTCACAGAAAGGACCGAGCCAGGTGCATAAATATTATTTCATACTTATGTACAATACATTATACTGAAAACATATTCTGCATTTTTATAACTTGGAGCAGAGATTTTGGAAAGTATCATCTGATAGATGAGTGTATATATCTTTCAATATAGATTTTAAAATTAAGTATCACACATGCAGATTCCATGTGTGCGGTCAACACTTTGTAAGTCCAATTGCCACGTCAACCAACTGATACCCACTCCACCCAAGAGAATTACCATCCCCATCTCATTCCATCATATTAACCTCTACTAGGATTGATGTGCAACTTGAAGACTAAATACTGCTTTTCTTTTGTGAAAATTCTGGTTTTTAACCCAAAACTTCTGTAAGCTGATGTGATGTTTAGGGAAAAAAAATGTATTTCAAAATATTTTTTTAGGTTTTGAGGTCAATAAAGAGCAATGCAAGAAGCGTTTTTTAGCCTAGTCATACGAATGTCCATTGGAATTTTCTCCTCAGCATACACTCAGTTCATGTATTGGTTATGAGCCTGATTTAGACAATCAGCTCTGCTCTGCAATCACTTCAGAAAATGTTGCACTTGCTTTTATTAAATATAGATAGGAACCCTTATGTCTGTTGTAATCAGCTGAAACAAGAGCATGCTTGAAACTGTAGGGCTCTTAGCATGAAAATTTCACCAGTCTTAGACGACAGAACCAAAGAGAACACATTTTCTTGTTTTCATGTACACCATGTAAGTAAAAGAAGTCAAGATATCTTTCCTTTACTGACTTAGCATGGCATACTAGAATGGAATTGGTGAAAATGGTGGCTAGTGTGTGTTATTTAACAAAGCTAGAAATTCTGCCCGGCAATTGTTCCAAATCCCAAATGCAGTGCCTCTGTTTCGTAATGACCAAGGGAACATGGAACAGTAAAATAGTAATGCACTGGTTAAAACTATCCACCAAATATTGCATTTGCTCTTCACATTTGTGTATGCTTATTTCACAAGGTCCTTAATCTGAGGACCATGAAGTTTACTTTAAAGATAGGGCATTTTTAATAACATTATAGATCTATCTATATATAGATTTTGATTGTGGAAGGGTTAACTAACTTGATGTCCTGTAAAAATAAGACAAAAAGAATAATACCAGCTTTAAATTAAAACTACCCCTCTGGGACAAGCCAAAATACTAATTGCATAGCAGTACCTCTAGTGATCTGCTCTCCCAGGTACATGTTGCTTTTTGGGACTGAATTTCAAGGAAAGCAAACAGGTTTTCATCCTGGCAGGGAAGGTGTGTTCATCTTTCATCTCTGCCTGAAGAGATTAAAACTTTCATCTTGTAAATCCTGGAAGAATGCCTTCTTCACCGTCCTGGCTGCTAAGCATTGACAAAAGTCAGGCACTTCCCGGTATCCAGGGAAGAAGTCCAAGAACCTGTGCGTGGTCATGGCAAACTGTGCACCTATTCACTTTAGAAACCAGGGGTGCGTGGAAGGCTTGAGGATTGCAGTTTTGGCAATATATTGGAGAGTAGGAACTTGATAGCATTTAGGTGGTTATCACCTAAATGGTTAGCTTAGATGGAGCCCTAAGAAAACATACTTAAGAAAATATAACCTGTTGGAATATTAAATTACCATCCTAAACTTGTCAGTGGGAATTTCAGTCAACTCCATTGAAGACACAGGAGCTATTACATATCTTTGTATAATTCAGTATAAACAAATCAGAATAAACCCTTGCATCAGATTCTGCATGCAAAAAAAGACAATCAACTGTTCATCTATCTCATCTCAGTTAACATCTTCATTGTACTTTGAGTCTACGTCTGTATTAGTAAATTTAAATGGAATGTTTCTGAGCATTGGAATTCAATTATTTACAATGTTAATTTTTCCTTGGCGTGTCTTTGGCCAGTTCCAGCTATCCCATTCCCGGACTCATGGTGGAATTACCTTGTAAGAGGGATTAGTGCAGTTTCTGATAAAGTCCAATGTCTCTTCAAAAGGAAGAAAGCTACATTATTTAACAATTTGCCAGTCGTTCCTTGATAGCTGGTCTCTGTGCCAGACATGACAGGCATGTCTGGGTATATCTAACATACTAGGAAAGGCACAGCCTTGCATTCCTGACTTGAATTGGTGTGTACTCAAAACACAGGCTGCTCCTTCCTTATGGGATGGTGACCAAAAACAACACGGAAATTGTAGCTGTAAGGAAGGGGAGAATCTGTCCAGGTGTTTAGTTGAATTCCTCTTTCAGTTCTGCAGTTGCATCTACCTTTTCCTAAAGAGATAACTTCAGGTGAAGCACTACTTGAAATGTAATCTTAGGAACAGAATATCAAGCTGTATACTGCCTGGCTTGTTTTCCATCTTCTCTGTCCCCAGTAGGTGACCCCAATGTGTCAATATTTGGAATGATTAACATGTAAACACAGCCATACCAAGTTATGTCATGCAATAGGACATTCATTCTCACTGTTGAACTGATTGTTCAATTTCTTTTTTCCCTGAGCCTTAAGTTGTCTGGAAACAAACCATGAAGCTAAGAGGAGGTAGGATTCTGGACTCTTGACAAAGCTGTCTTGCTCAGTCTTGCCTCTGGGTCTTTTTCTTCATCATGTGGTATGTATTTTTCCAGGTATTTTATTAATGGTTTTGTACCTTCACTGTTACTACAAAAATCTCACCCCATGCTGTCATGTGCCATTTGTATGCTGTTTTTGAAGATAAATCGATTAATACAGGTAAAAATAATAAACCAGTTGGGGAACACAACTGCATGCAGTTAAGACACATACAGTGGGCGAAGTTGCGAATGCCCCGTCTCTGGAAATGTTCAAGGGCAAGTTGGACGGGGCTTGGAGCAACCTGGTCTGTCGGAAGGCGTTCCTGCCCACGGCGGGGGGTCGGAACTGGATGGTCTTTGGGGTCCCTCCCGCCCCAGCCCGCCCGTCCCTCACGGCGGGGCCCCCAGCGCCGCCTGGCGGCGGCCGCGAAGCGCTCGGGCGGATTGGGGCCGCTGGGGGCCGCTGTGGCCGCTGCCTGAGGGGACCGGCGCGGTACCTGCGGGCGGCCCCAGCCCCGAGCGCCGCCCGCTCCCGTCCGCCGCCACCCGGAGCTTGGGAAGCGCGCCCAACAGGCGGTCCAGCTCCGCGTTTGCCCGTTTCGGCTGCCAAGGGAGAGGTTTATCCACACAATCAAAGTAAACAGGGAAAGTTCAACCGGATCGTGTTTCAGCCCCCCCCCCCTCCCCCCACCAGCACGCCCCGAGGGGCTCCGCGGGCAGGGCGGTCGCGAGTGTGTGTTCTGGGGAGGGGTCGCGCAGGACTGGACTTAGCGCTCGCCGCTTGCTTGTCACCTCTGCCGAGGTGCCGGCGGCTGCGGGAGCGGACAGGGCGCTCCCGCCGGTGGCAGTGCCTTCGTTCTCCTCCTCCTCCCCCGGCCCCGCTGGGAGCGCTTCCAAGCAGCGCCGCGCCGGGAGCCCAGGAAGCCGCCTCGCCACCCGGGACCGCCCGTGCCAAGAATGGGCGAGAGAGACGGCACGCCTGTTCACTCCTTCCACTCAGCTCCGCTCCAGCCGCCTCTCCGCGGGCTTCCCGGCCGGCGCGAGCAGAAATAGCCTTCCCCTTCTCCGGCAGCTCGCCCCCGCCCCAACACCTCCCCTTCCCCGCCGCAGCCGGGCCTGGAGTTCCCGGTAAACAGGAGGCTTCCCCGCCCGCCCCCCGCGGGGCTGCGGCCGCGGGCCGGGGACCTGCCTGACGGGAGCTGCGCCAGGAACATCAATATTTCAGAGGCTCCTCAGCGCGTTTCTAATTAAAGGCTCGGGCGATGCGCCCCCCCCCGTCCCCATCTTCCCGCCGCCGCCCCCTCCCACTCCACACACACACTTGGGACCGTCTCCTTACGTCGGAGAGAGGCGAAGGAGTGACTGAGCCCTGCTCGGGAGAACCGAGCAGGGGGAGGGACGGGGGGGACCGGGGCGGGAGGGGAGAGAGGGCGGGAAGGGGGGGCTTGTGCGAGCAGCGACGCTCCCGAGGTTGCCAAGTGGACTTTTATTGTTTTCCACCCACTTCCAAGTCGATACTATCTGCCGTCTCATGTCCATCCTATAGCCTATATAAGCGGCTGCGCTGGGGCTGGCGGCGATGGAGTAGTTTGTGGATACAACGGGAGTGCAGGGACGGGAGGGGGGCGGGCGGGCCAGCCGCGGAATACTTGGACTCCCCACCACTCGCGGGCTGCTGCCGTCCGGGGAGCGGCTCCCAGGGGGAAGACACCTCGGCTTCTGGGACGGAGAGACAGGTAAAGCGGCCGGGGAGGGCCAGCAATCTCCTTCCCCTCCGTTTCCCTCCCCACGCCCGCACCCCTCCCGCTCCGCGGGGCCGAAGCGCTGCGTACGGCGGGGCCGGTGACAGCCCGCGGGCGGGAGCGGCCCCGCCGCACCCCGCCGGAGTTGGCGGGGCAGAGCCGCCGCGCGGAGTGCGGGGCGGTGTGTGCGCGGGGCGCTCAGCCGTCCGAAGGAGAGCGGCTCCGGGGATGCCGCTGGCCGCCGCTCCGGGCTGCTCCCCGCGGCCGCCCGCGTTCCTTCCCCCAGCCAGGAAAAGGGACAGAGAAAGGGGAGGCTGGCGCTGCCGCTCCCTGCGCCTGGACGGCTGCCCCCCAGCCGCGCACCGCCTGTCCCGCCGCTCCTGCCCGCAGCCCGGGCGCCGAGCCCCGCAGCGAGGGTGGGGACCCGCTCGGTGCGCAGCTGCCGCGGCTCTCCGGCACAAACTTCGGGGAAAGTTGTGGCCCCTCGCCCGCGCTGCTCCGCTCCGTGGCCGCGGGCGGGGCGGGGAGAGGCGGGGCGGAACGCCGATCTGCGGCGCGGGGCGAGGGGTCCTGCCGGGCACCCCAGCCCGTCCTCGCTACGAGGCTGTGCACCCGCCCTCCCGCGGGGCTCGGCTCCGGGAGGCCGGGCGGGCGCTGGGGCGGCTCTGCCCTCGGGGCGGGCTCTGCGGGCAGCGAGGGCAGCAGCGGACCCTCCGCCCTGCTCCGCCCCGCCAGCCCCCCGCCGTCAGGCGTGGAGCTGTCGGAGCGGTCTGCGCCCCTGCCTTGTGTAACCTGCGGAGTGGTCTCCGCTCTCTCCTCCTGTAATGTTTCCTGTTTCATCCCCACGACTCTCCCCACCTTCGACCCACCCCCCCGATTTTCTCTTCCAGTGAAACAGGAGGCCTCCCACAGCAGCAGATCCTTCCTCTTCATCCCCTCGTGCACTCTTCAGGTCGGACTGCAATGAGTGGACTGAGGTCTCCTGGGCTGCTGGGGCTGGTACTGTTAATGCTCTCAGCAGGATATTGCAAAGAGAAAACTGACTCCACAGATTTGAAGGACAAGCAAAGTCTCTTAAATCTGATCATGGAGATCATTCAGGAACTGAAGAGGTACCACCTGGAGAAGGAAAGTGGGGTGCAGTACTTCTCCAAGCATGACTATAACTTGGATCGAAGGGAAGTGGCTGACTACGGAGGATACCAGGATGAGCAGAGAGTTGGTAAGTCACAGTCCATGACATAGGAGATCTTTTTCTCTAGAGTGCCTTAGTGAATGAGACAGCACATCAGGTTACTAATTTTATATCAAGAATTCACCACTCAGAATACTGCAGGTTCCCCTTGGTATCAGAAACAGACACAGGTGGCAAATTCAGAATAGAAAACCTCCAGTCACATCTCAGAGTCTTTTACGCTCTGGATAATGTACTCAACTGAAAGTCCAACTTCCTGTGGCTTTGAACAAAACCTTTTAATAAGGGAAAAGACTGAAATGAGATGAGCTCAAAGAAACAAGGGATGAAAACGCTCTTTTTCCTGGAAGGTTACCACTTATTATAATGTGCTTGGTTTAAGTGTTTCTTGGAAATGACCCTAGCAAGAATTCCCCTGCAGGACTATAGTATGTCCTTAAAGACTCCACGTCTAGAAGTCTTTCCTGAAGCTCAGCTTCATTGAACTTTTCGCCCTGCTTGTTTGTTCCTTTTGTACTCCAGAGGTAGCACCTTTAAAATACTAGGGAACTGAACCAGTACTCCTCTGCCACTGTAGAGGCTGTGACCAATCTGGGAAACTCCTGCAGTCATACTTCTGTTCATTTAAATGACTCTTCTCTAACCTCCAGTGAAAGCCCAGGTTGGTTTGTAAGATGTTCAGGTTGCATGAGCAGTCCAGAAGTAGTCATAGCAGTCACACAGTGACGGATAGTTACTGTTCAGTTCCATGATGTTCCTCTGTGCATCCAGTTGAAAATTGATTTGGCTTCTCCTGCTGCCATGTCTAATTTACTGTTCCCTGTCACTCCCAAGCCCCTACAGCATTACTGCTGCTCATCTTACTCCTCCTACTGAAAGTGACTGAGTATTTTCCAGCAAATGCCTACTCACCTTTTCCCAACGTGGCTTTCATTTTGTTTGTGTGCTATTTATTTTGTCTTTATTGATCTCATAAAACTTCATTGTAGCTTTTCTTCATTCTCATTCATATTCAAATATCCTTGTGATTTGCATTTATTGGTGGTTGTCATGAAAATGTTGCTTCTCTATCTGGATGATTAATGAATGTACAAAGGAAGACAATTTTGTTCCGCTTAAGATCATCACAGGGAGAACATTTTGTTTTATAAATGTTAAAAAGTCAAAGAGGCCAGACTAAGCAGGGAACCCTGATCTGCACAACTCTAAATCTCACCTTGGAACATGGGCATAGTTTTTGGTCACCCTACATCAGCATATTGGTGTGAAACATCTGGCTTGTGCTGAACAATTAATCTATTTGATTAATAAACCTGCTTCGGAGCAGATTAGTTGGTAGTGTTGTTACTGACTCCTAAGCAGGATTTTTCATTCTGTTATTATAATGGAGTTATTCCCAGCAACTCTGAAAAGGAACTACTAGTTAAGAGTCTTTCATTTCAGTTTTGGCATCACTTTCCCAGTAAGTTGGTCCCATGGGAAATTTCTGAGTGAAGCATGTGTGTTTTTAATGCTCTTCTTGACATAATTAGGTCAAATAGGATAAGGTCAATTTTACTTACACTGACTGAAGTTAGAAGTAAATGAAGAATGACTTTCGAGAAGTGTCTAACCTTACAAGTGAATCAGATCTGGATGGAAATGCTCTCTCACTTTATATCTGATAAGAGGTGCCAGGGGAGTGAAAAAGGCTGCTCAGGCATTTATGGTCAAATAAATAAAGCACCATGTAGTGTATCATACACAATCAGCACTAAGCTATCAGCATAGAGTTTGTAACGGAAAGCAATCAAAGATAGCTGTAAATCAGGAAGTCACAAGTGAGGGTTAGGGCTAAAATGGATTTCAGTAAACCAGTTTCATTTTGCCATCTGCTGAACAGAAAACGCAAGGCGGTAAACCACAAACACAGGGAGCCAGAAGAGAGCAATTTGCTTGGAATCATTTCCTGTGAATTTTATTTACTGCTAAAGGGGAAGGAAAAAAAAGATTCCTGTAAGTAGATCAATCCAGTTCCATGATTACAGCAGAAGAGTGCTTGTACAAACATACCTGTGGTAGAATAGTGGACACATTTGCATAAGAGAATTAGAAGACACAACCCCAAACTTGAGTTTACCTTTGGATCCTTACCACTAGTGTAATACACTATTTCTGAGCAACCATGAACTAAAATTTCTTGAAGAATTTAAATCTAGGTCAACTTGATAATATAATTCATAGAGAGCTAAAATCTGACTCTTAGTTAATAACCATCATCATTAATGACCACACATCTAACAGACATTGTTTCATCATCACCATGTGTTTCATAGAGCATTTTACAGGGGTTTCTATGTAAAACAAGTGCTTGAAATGTGGCCTACTGCATGCAAAGGGCTTTTGACCTCTGTGTACCTGTCAAGACATAGTGGTGATGTTTGCTGGACAGAATATTCCCTGCCCCCATACTATGCTTGGCAAGCAGAGTTCCAGTGCAGCAGAATGACTGTTCTTTTTTCTGTCCAACAGAAATAGTTCCTAGAGATCTGAGGATGAAAGAAAAGTTCTTAAAGCATTTAACAGGTATGTTTTAATTTTGCATTGGTATCCATCATTTCAAGTACATACTGTAAGCTGCACTACTCTTTCTGTGACCTGTGCTAATTCATAACTTATTATTTCTTTATATTTCAGGTCCACTCTACTTTAGCCCAAAATGTAGTAAACATTTTCATCGGCTTTATCACAATACAAGGGACTGCACCATCCCAGCATGTAAGTGACAAAACGAGAAACGTCCCTAAAAAAAAAGGAAACTCAAATTTAATAGTGATACAATGTCAGAACTCATTCCTTGCAATGAAGAGTTTTGAGTGCTCTAAAATATACTGAGTATTCTTTACAGTATTACAGTACAGCATCAGCATTACAGAGAGGAAAATGGAAACAAAACCTTTTCACTGAAAATACATTGTGTACAATGGCTGTAAACACTGTGTCCTTAGGTACTGAAGTATATGTGTCCTGGGTTCCAAATCAAGTGTTTGCTTTTCACAGGAACATGACTCCTCTCAGAAACATCTCATATTTACTTTCTAGTGCTGCAAATTCAATATAGGATCAGAAATCCAGGTGGGATTATTTCCTTTTCATTGATTATTTATCTAGAACATATTTTATAGATATTTTCTATTTTGACTATTCAGCTACCAATCTATCAGTGATGTTGACAATGAATCTTTGCAACACTTGTGTTCCGTGAATTACAAAAATATAATTTCCTAAGGCTTAGGAAAAAAAAAAGTGCTGATGGACACAAATAAGAAAATGCAGTTGATGATATCTCTTCACTGTTGGCAGCCCAGAGACAATCAAATCAAACACTGACATTTATCAGTCAGTAGATGTGACTCTAGATTCATACTGAGGTGGACCTGTTGAGTAAGCAGATGCTATTTTAGTACTGCCTTTTCAGAATGGAAGCACACTTTATTTTACTTGTCTGAGGTCAACCAGTTGGGTCAGTAGCAGAGCTGGGAATAGAAACAAGAGTTACAGATTCCAAGTTTCAAGTATTAATAAATATTTTAGCCCAATATACTTTAAAGGCATATTTGGTAAGAATTGTGGACTTTTCCCCTCTTTGTAAGGCTTCAGATTAGGAATGCCTTGGAAAGATAGGGATTTATAGATGATAGCTAGCCAGATCACATTCTGTTTATATGGGTGGAGATATAAGTTGTTCATAACTTGTCTGTTTTGAACAAGCAAATGGTTATATTACCTTTTTCATAAGGATCACAATACAAACATCATTTGGCTCAGCACAGCTCCAAGCTGTGAAGCTATAAACTACTTGGTCATAAAGTCTAAATTAGCCTTTTCCTTCTGACAAGTGACATACCCACCAATATCATGTCTGGATAATGGAGGATAATTTGTATGAATGGCAATTATAGCATAACTATGCTGTGAGTTAGAGATTGTTAACATTGCATCTCTAGGAAACATTAGATGTAGTTACTCATTAGTGAAATAATGCCTAACGAAAATCAACATCAGTTACTGGACTGGGCTGACTAGCATCTTTTGAAGTAACTTTCTTCTAGGAAAATGACATAGACAGCCTACTTTAATTCTTCATGCACAGAATGATGTTACTTTTTGATAATATCCTGACTTCAAATAATGCTGTTCATTCTGTGTAGAAATTCAAAGGCTAAACAACAAAGAAATTAAAAGCATCTATGAGGCTGCAACATGGTGGTAGCCAGTACAAAAGAATTTTGTTGGCATACTTTCTAGTACTTTGTACACTGTAATAGCACTGACACCTGGAAAGTAGTTTACTTTTCTGTCTGTCCATAACCAGCTTTCACAATACTTGCTTTCAGTTTGTCATGTTAATGGAGAAAAAACCCTTTTGATTATTTTTTTAGTTTTGCATTGGTTCTGTCCCTTATTACAAATGCATCAAAAAGAAGAAGGTACCTAAAATATGAACAACTAACAATAGGACTACTATGGAAAAAACATTTTACTAGTTTTAAGATGAAACGTGATACAGTTATGAATGTTTGTGATGTGGTCACATACTTGGGCTGGACTTAACATTCCTATGACTCGATGTTATTTGTCTAATTTGAAGAAAATCTATTGGAGAATGGCATTACTTAAGTTGATAGCCTTGTTTGTTGAGGGCTGGATTTCAAAGGTGGATGAGCACAACTTACTCTTCCTCTAGTATGGAGATACTACAGTCACATGTTTAGATCCTGCATGTAAGCACAGACACAGATATATAAATTTTCATCCATACAAACACTTGGAGAGCCTCCAAGCACATTCATGCTATTTATTTACAGATGGAACATAAGCAAAAGTCAGTTGCACGGTTAATGTGCTATTAGACATGGCTTTCAGTTACACAGTTTTTACACACTGCATTTCTAAGTCTAAGGAGTTGACTTTTATTCTGTTGCCAACCAAGGTATTCATTAAACTTTATTACAATACTAATTTGACACTGATATCAATGTTGATTTTTAAAAGCAAAATTGGTTACTTTGGTAATCTATTTATGCTCTTTTTTCATGACAGACTATAAAAGATGTGCCAGGCTTCTTACTCGGTTGGCAGTAAGCCCAATGTGCATGGAAGGATAAAGGTAAGCTTTTTCTTAGCAGTAATGACATTTCACTGCACAGCAAAGCAGAGGATGTTGTGCTTCATACATGAGAATTTATGGGCATATAATAACAACTGTCCTTTAGCTAAGGTATTCTCCTCTGTCACAACTTAAAGTAACTGGCTTAATCTGGCAAATTTTGGCATCAAGGAAAGGGTACCCCCTGCTGGAAGTCATTACATAAAAGTCCATGTGCATCATCTGTGAATTATTTATAGCAGCATACAGTTAGCAGATAGTGATTTGTTGTTACAGAACAAAACTCTACAGCTGTGGCTTATTTTTCAAGAGTTGACTCAGAACACAATTGCCTGTATCAGGAGCAGCAGCCACCCTTTTATGTGTGCAGCTGTACATCTATGGTGTACTCTTCAGTCTGAGTTAATATATACATAGCTATACACATGAAAGCTTTATAAACGTAGATAGGCTGCAGGTGCTTTTATAGTAATTCAATTAAAATGTATTATTAGTAGCATTGATAAACTAACTTCAAGCTACTCGGATTTCCTGGGATTTCATTGTGTTCACCTCTCATGTCTCTGGGTTAATTCCCTCCTTTTTTGCCTACATCTACCTCTACTTCCCACAAATACTTGGGAAATTTCATCATGCACCAAAATAAAAAGCCAACCAACTGACCTATTTTTAGGAAACTGTCACAAAAGAATACAAAAGGACTAAGTCACATTCTGTCCTCAACCTTTACCTGAGACAAAAATGTGACCTCAGACTAATGACCATATGGACTTGTCAGTAACGAATGCTGTCAAACCAAGATATTTTAACTCTATGGTGGAGAGAATCAGTGAGAAAAAATAATAATTATTAAGCATTTTAGTTTATTTTTTTAAAGCATTGACATTGTTTTGCATGGCATTCTCAGAAGGAAGCTAGGGAAATGTAATCAAGATAAATGTAAAAATGACTGGAAAAAGATACACAAGTAGGTTATTAGTGTTTCACTGTCAAAACTGGAAAAATGTATTAAGCAGTGTCTCACAGCTTCATTATGGGTGTGATATTGTTCAATACTTTCATTAATAACTTGGGTGATAGAATACTATATTTAAGGATTAGAGTAGTGTAGGAGAAGCAACCATGATACAGTACAATCTTGAAATTAAAAATAATCTTAGAAAATAAGCTGAATAGTTTAAAACAAGGATAAAATTTAAAGAGCAGAATTATGACGTCAGGTAGGAGTATTTAGCTTCAGAATTACCAGAATGCCAGAATCCATGGCATTTTGTGAATAGACAGATAGTTTTGTCAAAAACATAGGGGTTGTACTGGATCACAAACTAAACAAGTCAACCATGTCACACTTGAAAAAAGTCAAACAACATACTGGAATTTATAAATAAAATAATTGTTTATGAAACATCTGAAATAATCACTGTTTCTGGAATACTGTATTTAATTAAGGGCACCACACTTGAAGACATATGGGTGCTTCTTAAAAGAGTCCAAAGAAGAGCAGTGTGGATTACCAAAGGCCTAGAAAAAGTTTAAGAGAACAGTTAAAGGAATTGAGATTATTTAGTCTAAAGAAAAGATGACTGCAGGAAAACATCATGGAGCTATTCCATTTCATAAAAGGTTGCTACTAGCCATCCTCTCTATCCAGTGTGGATAAATGCGATATAATTTGTTTAACTTTGCAAATAGGTCAATATTATTACCAATAAGCGGATACATCAGAGTAGGAAATTCTTTTCTCCCTTTCTTTAGAAAGTTTTATCTGTATCTTAACATCCTGTCATGTAAACATAAACTTGTAATATGAAGGAACAGGAACTAAAGTAATTCACATCTCAAGCTGGGAGTCTATTTAAAATTGTCCATCTCTCAAAAAACACCTTTGCTCAACTAACAGGCATGTTGCAATGTCAATAGCAACTCCACTTCTGTTATTCTCCACACAGACACAGATCAGTAGTGGTAGAATTGTTAAGCAACCTCTGTTAGTAGAAAGACAGACTATTCTCTACCACATATGCTTTGAGATTCATAAATGTCTCCATAAGATTAATCATCTTTTCTCCTCAAAGCTTTTCTACTGCATCAGTTCAATTTGTGTGAAGCAAATTAGGTTTCCTGTTTTGCTCATTATCTGATTTTCATTTCATTGGAGGCTTTTAAGTGGGCTGGGCTACAGATGGACTATTACCCTGGCAAACTGGTAGTTTTGGTGGATTTTTCAGATCTGTGGACATCTATCCATGTTTAGAGATCAAGTTAAAGGAAAAAAAAATAGATTTGTTTTCCTTTCTACACTAAATGCATTTTGGACTATCACAGCTTTAAAGCACACAAGACATTGAAACTCTGAGCTAAGATCAAACAAGAAAATAAGATGTGAGAACAGGAATTGGACATCTGTGACTGTCACAACACATACCTGAGTGGGCCCATGTGTGTGTTTGTAGTACAACATGTCTTATGGAGCCTTCACTTTTTCTCATTTACCCTACACATCTGTAACTGGGCTCCATCTTCTCTTGTTTTTTAGTGTACGTTCCCATTCTTGCCTGTCCCACAGATAGGAGCAATGCAGGGACCCAGTAACAGCCCTTCAAATTGTTGAGATTGCCTGAGTGAAGCCAGAGCAACAGATTTATATTACCACATCACTCAGTAGTCCTTTTTTTTTTTTCCAATCAGCAACCCAGGCCATATTCCTTGGCTGCCACCAGCATAATTTCTGATTAATTTTATTCTGTAACCCCTTCTTGTGGTCAACACAGCTATGCTAAGTCCTGTCCTTGATGCTGTTTTGTGTTCTGTTATTCAGTCAGCTTCCTAGGATTTCCCATATTCCATGGTTGCTTTGCTCCACCCTATGCAGATACATCCCACAACTGTAATGTTGTCCATATCTGCAGTAGGTAAGAAATGTCAGGAACAAAATTCCTGAAGTCTTCACCTAAATAAAGTTCCCAATTCAGATCTTGAGTATTTCCTGTGACAGACGATGACTCTGAAAATCTGTCCCCTTTGACAGCATCTGTCACAGCCACTTTGGCTACAGTCATACAGATTTTACTGCTTTTGTTTGAAAACTGCAGGTGTTACTGTTGGTGCCCTCCCTTTTCCATTAGCTGTTCTTTAAGTGTTTGCTAGAGCCCAATACTGATCTCATAATATATGTTGAAAACCTCCTTGTACCGTGAGTACTAGTTCAAAAACTAAAGACTGCATTAATCACATATTATTACATCCTTCTGTTTTGAAGATTTCTTCTAATTTCTATACAGACAAGTTTTATGGGGTTTTTTACCTTTTTTAAAGTGTCTACAGTTATTTCAAATAAACAAAGTAAAACTAATGACAAACACTTTTGCACTAATAAATACAAGACTGGTGTAAGTAGTAGGAATCTCGGGCTAAGCAGAGAAAGTGAAGTTTTACATACTATAAAAAGGGTATGAAAAAATCTATTAGTTGCTTCCTTAAGAAGCAGATACAAAAAATTAATATTTGTACATACAAAGGTCTAACATTCTTTATAAAATTCCTAATAAGCTAAAGCCCACTGATAACTGAAATTTCCTTTGGAACTCAGAAAAATCTGTGTAAACTCCTCAAGATGCATTGTCCATACTAGTAATGTATATGAAAAATGCTGAAAATACAAGTTAAAGTTAGAAACTTCATATACATGAAAACTAGAGTACCCCACTGAATATCCCATTCCTACACACCATTTTTCAAACTGTTCTTAAACCAAGTTAACATTTGGGTACTTAAATTTGGCTTCAAGTGTTTTGTTACAATGGAAACAACAGATTGCTTTCTCTCTTACACTGTTTCTTATTCAGAGTAACATCGAGTGCATTCAAGAAATGTAACATGCTTTCACAGAAGTGAAGGCGAAATTAAGATGAGGGAGTTGCGTATTATTCAGTGAAGGCAGACCCTCTTTTTCTAGAATGTACAGCTCGATCCATCACATACAGCTTCTCAGGGCATGTTCAGTCACCTCTGTGTCTGGCGCCAGGAAGTAGTTTCCAAGGTAACTAACTGAAGACTTTTATCAGAACTACTGCTTTGCATTAAATAGGCAGCCAGTGTAAGTTACTAGTGTGGCATAGTCCAACTTTATTAAGCAGCAATTTGTAGTTTTGCTTACTATGGGATGTCTGTGGCTAACACCAGATGGAACATTGGAAGCTTTATCGTCTTCAGTGCATGGATCTCTCTGATTACATCACAGACTTCCACCTGGGTGTGCACACTTCGGGAAAGAATTTTTTGATGTAAGCACATGGAAGTTCTGCTACAAAATCCTACTGGCACAGTATTTTAAGATTTGTATTGATCTTGAAACCACTAAACTCTTCTCATACAGATTAGCTTTTTCTTACAGAGTTTATAATCATGCACAGATAATAACCAGAAACAAATCTGGAAAACTGTAATATGCCTTTACACTAGCTTTCATTTGTGCTTTTAAAAATTGGAACAATTGCATGGTTTGGTTGGTTGGTTTGGCTGGGGGCTTTTGTGTTTATTTTTCCTTGCATTAGCAAAGGAGAACTAAAAATTGAGTTAAAGAGGGGAAAGGAATTGTTACCTATGTTCTCAACCGAGGCTGTAGTCAAATCATGTTCAGGAACTCCACTAAGACTACCTATCACTCTTCAGCTAAATTCCAGTCTAATTTTCCTAGACTAATCCATATGATATGAAATAAAAATTTAAAAAAAGTACAGCAGATTTATCAATGCTAAAAATCTGAGGCCTTTTCAAGGGTCTCTGAAAATGCCAGGGGTTTAGAAAACTGTAAGTTACCTGAGCACTGGGAATCTAAGATCCAGAGCTTTTGATCAGATACCCATACAAAGGCAGGTCTGTATAAGCATCCTATCCATTGTTTTTCACCCTCAGTGAGCTGCATATTCCCACTAGTAATGAAAAAATTATTTAATACATTTTCAGTGTTTAACTTGTCAGTTGTACCACACACTGATCAAACCAAAAGCATGTTAATTTCTTTTAAACATCACTTTTAAACATCACAGCCTAACTAGAGTACAGGAGGACCTGTACATACAGAAAATAAGCTAGATGACAGTGCAAGACAAGAAAAATTTACATCAGCTTCCACTGATGGGAAAAAAAAAAGTCATTGTCCTATCTGCAAAGCCAGAGAAAACCCATAAATTACATTAAGCTGTTCTGTAACATTATTACATTTCCTAACAGCTTTCAAAAATTGCAAAACTAAATGTTTAAATACTACTAACAAGTATTTCTGTATGCACCAATAGCTTGATTTCCAATGGATTATGTCAAGTCCAACTGACTTTGCATCCAAATGATTCTATTATGAATTATACTTAAGCAGTAGAATATGTAGAGAAACTCAGAGTATCAGAGACTTCGCACTGATCATGGGAAGGAGAGTTACCTACGTTCAGACAGACAATATGAAAGCTTTAACTGTGAAAAATGTCATCAGCAGAACTCTAGCATCAGAGTACCACAGGTTTTTATCTCCCACAAGGACTTTTGACAGCTGTGAGACACGCCAGCTTCAACTGAATCTGTTTGCATGTAAGAGCAATGGCTTTCGACTGTGTAGATTAAAAAGACATCATACATTTTTTACTTCTAAAAAAGAACAATAACAGGCTTAGAAGGACATGAAACTGGGTGGACAGACTTGTAGCATTCAGTGGTCATCCATCTGGAAAATCTGGTTGCAGAAAACAAACTCAGAAGTTACTGGAGAGAGGATGGGCTTCTAGATACGTATACTCAGTTACACAACATTTTCGTAGCATGGTTTAAAGGTGTGGAGGAACAGGGGTCTGAAAACCTTCACTGCTCAACCTCTGAATCAACATTTCTAGAGTATAGACAATATACATACATATGCAATGTGGAAACCTGTCATTTTGTATCAGTGATTTTGATATCAGTATCATAGAAATGGTTTTGATTTCATTCCAAGAAACTGTTCTGGGAAGAGTTACTAGAACCACCAGCAAATTGAACCAGTGCAGCTCCTGCTCAGTTTGTGCTGCCTCAGTGTTTGCATGTTCCAGGAGCTGTATTTATATGACCAAATCTCGGAAAGTTACTTCTATTTGTTTCTTGTTTATATGATTCCAAGTTTCTTCACAAATGGGGCCAATGATACATCAAATCCTTCTGAGATCCTAGCAACAACTGACTGACACCAAGGCATCTAGACAGAATTTTGCAATCTGTTAATGCTATTCCTGAGGTTTATTCAATTTTTGACTTCACAGCTGCAGTCATTAGAACAGGCCATACTTAACTATGAGCACTTTTTGAAAGGTAGAACTGGATTTTCCTAATCTGTCTACCTAAAATGAAGCACCACAAAAAGGGTCGCTTTCCAAAATTTCCGCCTCTATTAACAAAGCATTAATTTAACAGTCAGGCTGATACAAACTGAGCTAAATCAGAAATGTGCTACTGGATCTTTCAAAAGTTATTATGGAATTCTCCAGTTTTATTTATTATTTTCAGCATGATAAACACATTTTGAAACACATCTATGTGAATATAAAAATAGTGAAAGGCAATTTTCTTCTTTCTTTTAATCCACCAGATGTTATTACCATGACAAGAAACACCAAGAACCAAGAGAAGTGCCTTGGAAACCAACAGGGAAATAGAACTTACTACCTTTTAGCAAATTCCATTGTGAACAAGAGATTTATTTTTGCAGATTGACAGACTACTTCCCATAATTCTTTTAACATGCATTTTGTATGCCATCAAGTTTGCAGATTGACATTCTTTACAGTAGCATAACTGCCAGTAGTACTTAATGCTCCGTACTTAAAAACACACTTTACAATTGATGTGTAATGCTGCCAAAAATTATGTAAACACAAATATTTCACCAAGAAAATTGATGTTCTATTGCTTAATTCTAAAATTTTAAGGAATGTTTGTTTGTATATCTAGAACTACTAAAGATCTGCTCCACGGTAGTTGTGGTCACTTGACACCCTTCATGCTTATGCAATTTTTTTAAAAGTTTGGTTAAAACAGACTTGCATTGGGGTCACATTGTACCCTGGGAGTACAAACTGCATGACAAACAGGAACGTAATTCCAAGTAGACATACTTTTTGGGACAGTGGAGCATGGATTTTGTACACAAACACAAGCTGCCATTAATTTACTTTATATAATAAATGTATAAAACATTCCAGCGAACGTGCAATATGTAAATACTGTAAATAACAAGCGTAAGTAATAAAGTGTTTGGTATTAAGTTGTTCTCAGTTTGCTTTCTGTTCATTGAATCCAGGTAAACAAGCTACCCTCTGGTAGCTACTGTCATTTATTCACAGTTAAACCTCTTTCCAGTAAGAGCTTACTAGTGTAAGAAGGAAAGTTATATCCACCTCAGAGAAGTTCAGTAATCTGGACACTCTCTGTGTGTCTTCCAAGCCCACAACGCTGCTCCAATTCTCTCCAGCATTATAAGATGGAATGTTTTTTATGAATTACAGTTGGTTTAGGATTTTTTGTTTGGGGGGGGGGGCTTTTTGTTCATGTTTGGTTTTGGGGTTTTGTTTGTTTTTGTGGGTTTTGTTATTGTTGTTGGGGTTTTTTTAATAATCTGCAGTCTATTCATAGTACTGCAAGGCAATATAATCAGCAAATGTCCAGTAAATCATTTTACTATTGTAGAATTTTTAAGAAGTCAGTGAACACTTACTTGAGAAGCCTTGATACACATTTCCCTTTCTTCCTTAAATCAGATATTAAATTCAGTTAACAAAATAAAATGGCTCAAACAGGAAGAAATTTTTTATGTGCAATCTGTAGATGAACCACATGTACTTTTAACTTACACTGGCATTTAGTTTTCTTTCTATCCTCAATTTGAACCACAAAATGTAAAAACGAAACTAACATCCCTCCCCACCCTGAAAACTCTAGGAGCTGAGATTCTTGAAATGGCCACTTAAGAGCCTTCAGCATCCAGCTCTTTAGAAGAAAAGAGAAAATGGCAGAAGTACAAAATCCCATGCAAGAACGTGGCTGTGTTTAGCAGGAGAGAATTACAAGTTTTTATTTGCTTTCAGTGAACAGTAAATGTTAAAGTTTCATCTCTCAATGGATGCAATATATGGCTACAGGAAACATGGTAGTTTAAGGAATCTACTTCTCCAGGATTCACTCAGCTGCTCACCTGCAGTAAACATGTGGGTGGAACTCTGTGCTTCACTGTGGTTCCACTGAACCAACAGTACCATGCAACTGTCCCTCCTGAAGGCAATTCCAGTTCTCTATTCTTGGCTTCTACAAATTTGCATATAATACCATGGTCATCTCCTTCCCCTCTTCCAGAAAAAAAACTACTAATGATAAAAATCAATCTATCACCTTACTCCTCCTAGTACACTTAGTGAATTATTTAGCCAACAGATTACTTGCTGAATATGTATCTCAAGGCTGAAACTTTTAAATCTGAACTGAATTTAACACAAATAGTTTGTATCACTTTACAGGAAGATTGCTAAGCCTAGTAAAGGTAAGCAACCATATCCTTTTATGTCCTTTCTGTTACCCCAGCAGCTCAAAGATAAAGATTTAAGACCTTTAAATCTTAGCTTTAATATGTAGGAAACTGCTGAATTCCTACACAGCCATGAATGGGAAAGTACCAGTCATCATGTTCTAAATCTTGTGAGTTATTTTAATTTCACTGGAATCTTTGAAATGGTCATTCAGGCAGAGAATAAGATTAGATTATGCCTAAACACTTCCACCTTTGAGGTTAATGCATAAAACCACATTTAAGAGGGTTTGTCCCTACTGCCCATCATTTTTCCCCATTTACTTTGTAAAAGCATGCATAAAAGCAAAGGACAATAATTTTTCCAGAGTCAGTGCTTAGTCGGACCTGAAATATTGTATTATTCTTTGTCCCTGAAGTGAAACAGCTATTAACTTGCAAATTTCTAGCTTGTTTTTTAGAAGTCAAAACTACTGGTAATGCAATAATGCACAAAGATTCCAATTTCTGTGTTTAAGCACTCCCTGTACCACCTGCCTTTTTGTAAGCAGGTTCTTAAGTCATAGGTGTGACTGAAATTTTAGCACAAAACAGAAAGCTCCGTAACACAAAATAGCTGTTCTACAGCAAAAGTCCCAAGAAATTTAATTCCTATCCTGAAGGCTTCAACACACACAGAGTGACACCAGGATTCCAACTTCCCCAGGAGTAACAGTATCCTCTATTGAAATACATCTCTCCCCCAGAAGATAAAGTAGGTTACAAATACAGAGACTGCTACTTTGGAAGGCAGGAAGAGACACAAAAAAAAGGCTAAATAAATATGAAACCAAATTTTATAGATCCAGTTTTACAGATAATGTGGTAATGCTAGTCCATACCAATGCTGATACTAGTCAAAATAGGAAAAATCATCATGGTACCAGTTACATTACTGATCTCAGTGCATTTACATTTCTAAGGCAGACAAGAAAGGTGATGTTCAGACAAGCAGGTACAGATTTTTACAAAGCATCTTGTCCAAGAGCAGAACTATCTACTTACTGGCCTTTGGTTTACTTTGTACTATAGTACAGATGAACTCCATTTGGGTTGAACTGTGCTCTCAGAGAACACTTCTGACAGGCTGTCCGTTCTCCTGAGTAAATCTGTAAATACTGTCTGACCCTCATGTAGGAACTGGAATTATAGCAAATTTCTCATCTATTACATTGCATGGATTTGAGCATTTTACTACTATAAGATACAAAATGTGATTTCACATTTCAGCTTTTAAGCTGATATGTTTTGTCATCAAAGTAAATGCTATGTTTCATGTACTTGTGTCAGTGTGCTACGAATCACCCAGAAGAACAAAGGAAGACCAGAAGTCCTAATCAGTTTCTGAACTTTGTTCATCTTCAAAGTATAAAAGTGAACTGGAACAAAAATTATTTCTTCTTTGAATAACTAAGGATTTAAACTGACAGAAAAAGCTATTTTCACTGGATCCTGATGACACACAAGGAGGTTTTGCTTGCTTAAGCTTTCAAATAGTGCTAAGAGCAATGTCTGTCAGGCAGCAGTTCTTTGAGTCTAGAAGGCTTCCTGTGAAACACCTTCCATTCAAAGGCTGCCTCATGATACTGACACATCCAAGTTACACATCAACCATTATCTCAGATTCCCACTGAAAGTTGACTGAAATTAAGTCACTAAGGACACAATGACAAGACCTGAGTTTAGTTAATACAGCACATAAAGAAGCAAGATGTTTTGCAGTGCTTGTGAGAAAGCACCGAAGGGTTTACAGATAAATTAATCCTGAATTATATACTTTATTACTACACTGATGAGTGACAAAATGGTTGATCGTGTAATCCAATTAAAACCTTTCTATATTTTTTCATTAGATGACAGAAAAGCTAAAATACAAAATTCAACTGAATAAGTATTGAACACAGAGGCATAATTTTACAATTTAAATGTATCAATCAAGTCAACTTTACATATTTCAGGAAAAGCTAATTATTTTCTTTTAGAAATTAAATGATGAAGCATTAATGAGGTTTCTCCAGAAATGCTTTACAACATCTAAGACACTGCTCGTAAACAGTTTCAAAGTCCTTTTCATTCCCCTAGAAAAGAAGAGAGGAAAAAGACTGTAAGAATAGCAATACTAACTAAAAAAAAATAAAAATTGCATATGGGTTTCTCCATTGTCATTAATGCCAAATAACAGACACAAGGAAAGAATAAAAATGGTGCAAATACATGGTGATAGTTTTTGCATATTTCTCTCTAATTTGAACTCAAGGATTTCCACAAACACTGTGACTTTGTATTCAACAGACCCAGATGACTTTCCTTCACATATTTTCTTCACACATTTTTCTTCTATTCACTTTTTTAGCCCTTATAATTTTTTTCCCTTTTTCTTTACATTCACACTAACCTGTCTAGTTGAGTTTCACAGTTTAATGAAGCACTGTGCAGAAAAGGAAAACAAAACAAAACTCTTAAGTTTTGAATCTGCTTCCCCCATTAAAACCATTTCATATTCTCTACTTCCTGGGTAATGAAGAGCAATTCCTTATTTAGTTTTTCCCATTACATCAAGATTTTATAGAACCCTACTGCATCTTTATCCACTTCTGTTTGCTAAACTGAAGAATATTAATCTAATTGTTTGCTCTTGGCTTGTATTATTCAACTTCTTTGACTACCTGTGTCCATGCCTTTGTCTCTATCTTTCCTCATTACATCCTCTGCAAGGAGGCTGATCAATCAGGGCTTCACCAGTATTGAAAATATAGGTGCACTGCATTTAAATGTAAATAAATGCAAGCATAAAGACATGTTATCCTTTCCTAATCCAGTAATTTATATTCTTTCCTTGTCATTAAAAAAAAAATATGTTTACACTTGGCTTTGTATAACTTTACATTATATGTCACATGCCAACTGTGGGATCTGGAAAGATTATATACTACACATACACAATTTTTAATCAAGCCACCCAAAGAATTTCTTACACATACATAGTACGGATCTTCAATAATAAGCTGTTTCTGTGGATCATAACTTCCAAGTAGCTCAATTTTGGCCTTGCAGTCTTTAACTTGGTTGCTTTTCCTGTTCAGATCTCTGTAAAAGAGAACATAAAATTTTCCCCTGAATTTTTTGCCAGAATTTTGGCATCAACACAAGATGTTCATGACCATTTCTAGACAACACAGGAAAATAACACACGTCTGGACTCAATCCTGTGGACCCTACACTGCTGCTTGGTTTTGTTTCTTTCCTTTTGTGTGGGGTCTGGTTTAATTGAGTATGGAAGACATACACATAAACTTAATTCAGAGCATAAACAGTCAGGCACTCAACCTGTAGCTTAACAAAACTTTGTACCAGTCAGTTCAGCAACTTCTTCCTCAAATCAATTATTAGTACTTTCAGTATCTACCCTTAGCTTGTGTTGAACAAAAACCAATGGAAATTATCCAGATATTTCTCCAGAAGTATGAGTAAGCATCTCCTACCTGTTCAAAGCCAGATTAAATTGGTATACTGCAAGTTCTATCAATACTACCTCTAACTCATGTCAAGTCCTACTACAGTCAGTTAACAGAAAATGGTAAATGAGTGATCTACATCTGTTTTCCTTTTGATATACTGTAACATTTTATCAGTTGTCACATCCTCTTCCTTCTACATCACCTCTCATTGATAAAACATTCTGGTTTTGAGATGGCATTTTCCCCATCTACTTACAAATGGCCATCTATGATCCCAAAGGCAGTTAAAATGCACCTCTCATCATCTCCAGAGTAAAGGCAGCTCAGTACTATGATTTTCACAATGAACTGCCAGAACATACTAAATTCTTTTAGTATTACACATTTCCATACCAAATCATCATTTTACTTAACATTAAAAAAGGCAAAAAAGCCCCTGTGAATACTTAGTCATAAGTCTATCAGTATTCAGAAATTAAATTTCTAATTACTCATTCTTATAAATTAATTTCAAATAGTTTAGAAATAGCAATGAGACCACAATACTGGTTTTGCTTGAAGAAAAACCAGGGCTCCTCTTTCAACCAAGAAGGTATTGCTTGAATTTACAGATTTTCAATAAATTCTCTAGCCTTTTATTATTGGAAAAAACATCAAACCATTTTCTTAAAGGCTTCTGACAGACCACTTAGTGAACAGGAGAGGGCCAGATGGCTCTGGTACTAAAGAAAAGGGATGTCCCAAATCTTCCTTTTCTGACATGAGGCATTCCATCAACACCTGTAATCAGCTTGCCCTCCCAGTGCTACAAATGGTTGAACTCAGTGCAAGTTTAAGGTGAAACTGTAGTGTAGCAGTAGCAATATCCCAGTTGTAGTTCTGACATTTCTTCTGCTCTATAGTTCATATCATATAAATTGTTAATTGAAGTTTCTGTTTAAGAATTCAAGTGAAAATAGAAGTAAGCCTAGTCACGTCATTGCCTGAGACACTGCAATCAAGTCAAGTGTTGTATACCCTTTGTTCATGCAGACTCTGGAAGAGAGGTCATTCAGCATACTCTAGAAAATTCAATAAAATCATACTTATTTCAGTGAAGTGGTGCTGCTTCTAGAAGTCTTTATGTTCTACTAACAGGGTTTCATTTGGGTTTTGTTTTGTTGTTGGTTGTGGTGGTTTCGGCTTTTTTAAACTAACTTGACAATAGCCCTTACAAGCACTTTGAAAGCTCAGCTCCTATGTATATACATATGTACTCATATCTATATACTTGAGTAGAAATTTTGTTAGTGATACCCAGTTTTTACACTAGGCAGCTACTTCACGAAATCTTTCTAAAGAGCACTTAATTAGAACACAGCTAACAATAAAACAAGATTTCCCCCAGCTAACAACTCTGCTTATTTCAGAGCTCATTCTATTTCTATAAAAAAAGTAAAAAAACCGTTACCATATTTAATCCTTTCCAAGTTGCCACAGTTTTTCTGTTAAGTACCATGCAATTAGAAAAACAGATCAGTTCAATCAAGACATTAAGTACACCCTCATTCTTAACTATACAGGCATCAGCTGTATATAGCACAAAGTACCTAAATTTCCATCCTTAATCCTTGATTGGCACATATCACACAAATAAACCATTGACTTCTAGCTCATTAAACTTATTAGAAGTGAAGAATCTATCCTAATAGGATATCATTCACATACACGTTTGAAAAAAAACCCCAAAACAAAAGAACACCAAGACAAGCTAAGCAGTAAAATGTGACATCTGTCTTCAAAGTGACTTATGAGACATCACTATAAGTAATCCACATGAATTTGTTCAATTTCTTCATACATTACCTTAGATTGTTCTCATCCATGCAAAGTATATAATCAAAGGTCTGGAAATCCTCTTTAGTAACCTAGAATTAAAAACAGATGCTTTAGCCTACAAGCTTCATTTGATTTATAAGAAGAGGAAAAAAAGTATTTTCAAATTCTGTATCTCTGATTTACTAAAAAAGACACAGGTGGAAAGAATAAAACTGCATCTTCATAAATTTTTACAATAAGTTGTGGCATTTTAAATATACTTTACCATGATTATTTATCCATTTCTGCAAGAATTCCATAAAAAACTCCAAGTCAGCTATTCAACCAATCTTTCCTTTTTTTTTATTTTTTATATTTCATGCAGCAACTTAGACATCATTACAAGTGACATTTCTAGTACTTTTCAACTACTAAAACTAAAGCAGATTTCCAAATGTGGAAACTGTGCAATAAAAATGGTTAAAAATAAAACAGAAAAATTACTTTCTGGATAGAACAACAAAAATGTAGGTAACCCGGAATCACTTGCGATACTTCCAGTCTAGAAATTTGCCACTGCACAGGAAAAGTTACCAGGTGAAATTCAAAGCTGAAGTATCATGGTATGAGTTACAATCTCTTAAAAACAAATGCATCCACAATATTTTAGGCCATGTAAATTCACAAAATTTATAGTATGATGTGAAAAAAATCTATTGTAATCTTCCTACCATAATACAATCTGTTCTTTTTCTAATGTCATCTCTACTGTTATAAAGACAGCTGCAGATATTTACCTGTCATTGTATTTCAGTTTACATTTAAGCCTTAGCTTAGGCTAAAATGTTCCCAGCCCATGCCCACAATGCTAGTATAGGGTTTTGAACCAAGTGTCCATAATGAGGATGAATAAAAAGAATAAAATCTATAATGAGTTCACATTAAGACTGCATTTCACACAGTGGCCTATGTGTCCTATGTGAAGTATCATAACCAATAAACTTGGAAAGTTTGTTCAGAACAGGTTTTTCTGACAGGCATCTCTGGGAAGGATGGGCTAGAGAGGTGAGTAAGCAAGTAAACAGACAAAAAGACAAAACATCATACTGTAAGTCAGAAGTTTAACTTGTAAAAATTACTTACATACTAAAAAAAGATTTAGATGGCAAAACATCCATTTTGTGCAAACAGCAAATAGATACTGATTAAGCTCCCATAACAGGGAGTAAGAAAAGACAGACAGAAATTATCACCAGAATAAAGCCATAAATGAAACATTCCACACAAAGAGAATTGAAGGGGTGAGGTGTGTTGGGGAAGTATGAGAAAAGAAAGGGTTAATGGTAAAAACTAACAGACTTGTTTATTTTCACTGTAAAAATATTTGCTGTATTCATGCAGTGCCTCTGACCTATGAAAATATTTTTGCAGTGGAAATAGCTCTGTTTTCCTGGCAAATCTAAGCAGTACCTCTACAAGCTGCTTCTGATTGCTCTACACAGCTAAATACAGGCCCCTATGAAAATATGAGGGCACAGATTTCTTTGTTATACAGACATATGTAAGAAGAAAAATTAAGAAAAAAAGGAAAAACACACCTGCCACACTTCCCACTTGACAATGTTACAGTTATTATACTATGACCAGCACTAACACAGATGCAAATGCAGCCCTAAAACCAAGATTACCATTTGGCTTCTGCTCTTAGGCCCTACAGCAGCATCAGATACAAAAAGCCTAATTGAGCAAACTCCAGGGAACTGAAGATATTCCTCAAAACTATGAAAACTAGTATTTTGGGGGAATTGAGGACATAAAAATTTATGTACATTTTGAGAAGAGTAGTGGAGAGTTCAAGTTCAACTTTGGATGGAACTACGCAGACAACAATAACCTTACATTAAAAAAATGCATATAACCATTATTAATTTATTTGTTAAACATTTCCCTTTATTTACAGAAGAAAAATCTCATTTTCTCTGTCTAAAACCCCAAGAGAAGCAATAATCCTCAAATTTATCCAGTTGTGAAACAGTGTTTAATACAACCTGCTTCTAATCTCAATTTCATATTTAAGGCAAATGCACGGTATGAGTCATAGGAAAATCAATTTTGGCCTCAGCATGAATAAAAGTGAAACTGATTAAAACTTATCTGGTTTGTGCATGAAGACTAAGAGCTTAGAGAACTGCAATGGGTACATAAACACACAGCAGCCCACCATGGGCTAAAATGTCAACAACTCTTTATTTTGTATATACATTTATTTTTATACTTCACCTTTCACTTAAAAGATCACTGCATATGATGGTAGGATGCAACCGACTTAACATTCCCTTTTACATAAATCATTCTTGTAGTTTTGAACTAAAAAAAGGTAAAATCCATGATTATCATAATTATGCACAAAATTACATGAAAGAAAATGACTTTCACTGGGAGAGTACCAGTATTCCACAGGAGTGAAGAGGATAATTGTATGAGGTACTTATCTTAAGACAGTATTTCAAAGGCAACAAAGGTAAATCCCTGCTCTCTATTTCTGCAGCTTCTGTATTAAATTTTCCTTAATCTGTTCTGAAACAAGTCTCACACAAAATTCTATCCTTGAGTTTGTCTCTAAAACAAACACAGTTCCACTTGTATTTATCTGACCACTCTGAAAAGTCCTATTTTACACTCTTGAGTACCTCTCTCTTCAGAAGTACGACAAGACCATAACAAGTCTGCAGTTTAGAGAATCAACAGAGACCATTTGACAGAAGTTTGGAAAAAAAAGTAAACTGGAGTTACATAGTTAACATCACTGCAAAATGAACAGTTACCTGCAGCTCAGGGATTTGAAGATTTTCTTTAAATTTATAAAAGAAACTGCTTGTACTGGGATGTTTTAGACAAATTTTCATCCTCTTAGTCTTTCATTTTATTGTCTCGTTCTTGTTAATTTTCTCTCCCTGTATATGTAACATTTTAGGGTCTTCTGCTTTAAGAATCTCTTCATTTGCTAGAATGTATAAGCAAATGTCTTCATTAAAGTGTTTCCATTCCCTCTCTGCCAAAGGAGGATATATAGATTCATTTCAAGGCAGAGGATCAACTCATTTTGGGTCCTTTGCTTTAGTTTAACTACTCTAGGAATATCCAAGAACAGTTCTTAAGTTTCCAAGGCATATCTTCTAAGAAAACAAATATGTTACACTGCTGTGACTGAAACACTGGCTGAATAGTTTCAGTACCATTTAGCTTGTATATTGCCAAATAATGATGTTTGCAAGCACTGATAAATAGTAAATCCAGAACTTGTAACAGGAAAAGATTACAAGACTTTTTTTAGTAATTATTCTAATAGTAAAATAATGAAAAATCTGAAATGTTGCTGTGCTTAATTCTGTTTATTATATAAAGGGAGATTAACATCAGGAGAGGTCAGTAGAGGGCAATTGACTAATTGGGAGAATTTATTTTAAAAAGTCAAAAAACTAAACATGTGGTCTTTGAAAGTGAAGAAAGTAAATATGACCTCAGTACGGTCTAGCAAAATTCTGAAGGGAACAGAAATGTAAGATAATACCAAGACTACTTGATCTTTTTGTCAGTACAAGAACTAGTGGCATAAACTCAAACTAAGTAAAGGTCAAGCCCTAAAGGAATATCTTATATCCAGAGAATAGTTAACTGAAGTAAATTATGTGCATTTATTTGAGTGTCTGAATTATTTAAATAGATGCAGACACATTTACTTCCAATCTGTCTGGAATGCAGCATGGAAATACATGTTCTTTTGTTAATGAAAACAGATACGAGTTTTGGTTAAAACTTAGAGGATTTCACTAAGTGACAAACCTGTCTTATCCTTAAGAATGCTTCAAGGGTATGTTTTCCTCTGAAGTTACCACCAACTGTGCTACTAATCTTGGGTTTGAGTGCTTTCATTCTAATTTAGCACTCTAAATATTTTTAAAAGATCTTCATGCAAGAGCAGAAGCTTTCTGTGACAGATGAACAGGTATTCTACTTCTTTTTGGACTTGTTAAATAAATATGCAATTTTTTGCTGAAGGATGCATCACAGATTACTAGAGTAAATCCATTTTTAAAAAGTATTTAAAAAATGCCCAAAATACTAAACATTTAAAGGCAAGATTTTTCCATAATGCACAAACTGCTCCAATGCTTCCTAGTTATACCTCCAATGAAGCTTTGTAACAAGAAACTCATTAAGCTCAACTAGAAAAATAAGGCCACTTTGAAGTCCTTTGAAAAACTACATATAGTATTTATTACTTGATGCTTAACCATGCACTGGTCAAATGACTTCCGTGATTGCAATGGTTAGGGCTAAACAAAGCATGGGTATGAATAAAAAAGAAAATACACTCTCTTCTACCTGCCGTGCTTTATGGGCTGTCTCAATGCCATGATTTCTTAGACAGCTTAAAGCCCTTGAATCTGGGGAGCGCCCCACGTTCCAGTCTGAAACAGCAGCACTGTCTGTCCTCCACTGTAACAACAAAACAAATACATACACATATTTAAAGAAAATTAAAGTACAGTACCTGCCTGGCAATATGACTCATGGGAATGCCATGCTTCTTCATGCAATTCTGTCCTCGATAGTCAGGAGGGCTTCCTATTTCATAGGTAGATGTTGCTGCACTGTCTATCCTCCACTACAGAAAAACAAATTTATATTTTTAAGTTTCCTTTCTCACTGCTTACAATTCTAACTGGCTACAAGACAGTAATTTCTTAGGCAGGAAGAAAAATAAATAGCTTACCTTGTGTTCAACTTTTTCATCAGTTACGAGTTTTCTAAAAACTGCTTCAGCTATTGGAGAGCGACAGATGTTTCCTATGGAAACAAGAGATTAAAGTGAATTTTCAGACTATTGAAACAAAAATATCAATAATTGTGTGGATTTTTCAGCGCAAATCAGATTAAAGATTTTATTTACTTAAACAGAATGTATATTGCTTATGTGAAAACCCAGAGTCCTGCACCTGGGTTGGAGCAATCTCCAGTATCAATACAGACTGTGGCATGAAGGGATTGAGGACTTGGGGACACCAGTGGATGAAAAACTGGATATGAGCCAGCGGTGTGCATCTGCAGCCCAGAAATGCAGTCCTTGGCTGCATCTAAAGCAGCATGGGCAGCAGATCAAGGGATGTGAGTCTGCCCCTCTACTCAGCTCTCATGAGACCCGACCTGAACTAGTGCATTCAGCTCTGGGGCCCCCAGCACAAGAAGGACATGAACCTACTGGGGTGGGTCCAAAGGAGGACCATGAAGATCATCAGAGGGCTGGAGCACCTCTCAGTGAGAACTGAGGTTGTGCAGCCTGGACAAGAGAAGGACTGGGGAGATCTTAGTGCAGCCTTTCTATATATAAATAGTACTGTAGTGACAGGACAAGGGACAACTGTTTTAAACAGAAATGGAGAAGATTTGTATTGGACATGAGCGAGAAATTTTTATTTTTTTTTTTACAATAGGGGTAGTGAGACCCTGGAACAGGTTGCCTAGAGAAGTTGTGGGTGCTCCATCATTGGAAGTGTTCAAGGCCAAGCTGGATGGATCTTTGAGCAACCTGGTCTAGTGGAAGGTTTCCCTTCCTATGGCAGGGGGGTTGGAACTAGATCATCTAGCTGATGATCCCTTCCCACCCAAATCATTCTATGATTCTGTACTATCCATCAGTCTCTTGAAATGCATATTATTATATGAAACATAATATATGAAAATAAATCATTAAATAGCAGGAATATTGTGTAAGCACATCCCTCTCTTCTCCTTCACAAAGAGTATGTGATCACAGAAGACCACACAAAATTACGAAATTTAAATGGCAGCGTATAATTCTTATCTTCAAATCTTCCTACACACTGCCAAATTTTAACTAATATCATGTAGTGGGTTTCTGTGGCTGGGTTTTGGTAGTGGAGGGGGGGCTACAGGGTTGGCTTCTGTTAGAAGCTGCTAGAAGCTTCCCCTGTCCGGAGGAGTCAATGCCAGCCGACTCCAGGATGGACTTGCTGCCGCTGGCCAAGGCTAAGCCAACCAGGAGTAATAGTAACACCTCTGTAATAACATATTTAAGAACAGAAGGTTGTGGCGCAGAAAGAATTCCAGTCAGGGAAGAGCGGAGTGAGAACATGGGAACAAGGCAGACATCAAGGTCAGTGCAGAAGGAGGGGCAGGAGGTGCTCCAGGCACCAGAGCTGAGGCCCCTGCAGCCTGTGATGCAGACCATGGTGGAGCAGCTGTGCCCCTGCAGCCCAGGGAGGAGCCCTTGCTGAAGCCAGTGGATGCCTGAAGGAGGCTGTGACCCTGTGGGAGGCCCATGCTGGAGCAGGGTCCTGATGGAGACCTGCAGCCCATGGAGAGGGAAGCCCACACTGGAGCAGGTGTTTCCTGGGTAGGACTTGTGGCCCCTGTGGGGGACCCATGCTGGTACAGCTCATTTGTGAAGGACTGCATCCCATGGAGAAGTGACCCATGGGACAGCAGTTTGGGAAGAGCTGTTGCCTGTGGGACGGACTTATGCTGGAGAGGTCCATCAAGGACTGTCTCCCATAGGAGGGACCCCACGGGAGCAGGGGAAGGGCTCCTCTCTCTGAGCAGCGCCAGAAACAACAACTGACCGTAACCCCCATTCCCTGTCCCCCTGCACCACTGGGGGGGAGGAGGGAGAACATGGAAGGAAGGAGGGGTGAGGGGAAGGTGGTTTTAAGATTTTTTTTTTCCTAACTCTTTGGCTCCTATCCTGTTAGTAATAAATTTAAATATCCCCACTATGAGTCTGTTTTGCCTGTGAAGGTAATCAGTAACTGACCTCTCCCAGCTCTTATCTCAACTCATGAATCCTTAGCTGTATTTTTTTCTCTCCTCCGTCCAGTTGCAGAGGGAGAGTGAGAGAGTGGCTTTAACAGGTACTTGGCATCCAACCAGGGTCAACCCACTACATACTACTTTCAATAATGCATGAACAATCATGAATATTTGCCTAAAGTATTTACATTACTACCTACCTGTGAACAAAAACTTTTGGACAACTCCAAAACACAGCCACCACCATTGTGAAAACAACATAGTGAAATGACTGAACAACCTGTAGTTTAAAATGCTCTTGATAACTGAAGTCACTGCAGATCAAACAGAACTCTCACCAAGAGCAGCTTCCAGATACCAATTCCAAATCCCCCTCAAAAAGAATTCAATGACACAAGCACTAAAAACAACTCAGAAAAAAAGATTCCAAACTTTTTTAGTCCAAAATATGGAGGATTAGGAACAAAACATAACATGTGGTAAAAAGCTGAAGTGCTGTCAATCAGCTAACAAACAGTTAAGGTACTTAATTATATACATACATAATCAGTGTTCCCTTCCAATGGCCTCCAGTTGCACTAGCCACTTGATCTGACCTTATTTTTAGAAAGAACCTGTTTCAACAATGCAGTACTGCCCCATTAAAAAACTAGAAATGATGGAGCTATAGCATTTTTGCTCGCTGCTGAAGCTGTAACTAAGTTAACCATCTATGGTAGATCTCTTAAAAATGAATGCAGAAATTCATATTCTTGAAAAAAGAATTAACTGTCTCAACAAAAACAAAAAGCCTATTCGGTGATTACTTTAAGTCTTTCTACCTTTTCATCCTTCAGAAATTTTGAGTAACTAGATAGATATTCATAATATTTGAGATGTCACCAAGATGACAATAACTCATACACTCAAATCTTCACTTTCCATCAAACAGAATATGTAACTTTGCTCATTACTGACTTTTGAGCAGACAAGTACAAAATACCAGAAATGGCAAAACTCACTTCTGTACCTCTGAATAGAGGACTCTTCTGCTACTGATTCTTTCCAAATCTCAAACAGTAAAAAAAAACCCAATGCCCATGAACAAAGCTAAATTTCCATAAGCAAAAAGAAATTTTCAGATCAGGCACTTAAGCTCATTTTCATGCCTGTATTTTCAAACAAAGCACCAAGGTAGACACTTCACTTCTAGAGAGAAAAGCTGGTATGATCTGGATGTTTAATAACGTGCTGTCACTCATGCCAACTATAAAATTCACAAAGAGGGAAGTGAAGGACTGAAGCAATACAAATTGGCTGTCAAAGATTTAGAGAACATTGAATCACTAAATGGCAAAAGGAACGGGCTAATCATTGAGAAATTGATCTTGCTGAAATACTAGGTGAATTCTGATGGCAGTAGATCTTCCAGGAGAAGACATACTATTTCTGTTGTTTGAATTAGTTTATTCCATGCACAGAAATGAAATCATTCTTGGAAGAAAAATAAAACAGTAAAATTTTGGGTTTTCTTAAACAGTTAAGTGAGAAAATAGGTTAGTATTATTAATTATAAAAATGTTTTAAAATATGGTAATAAATAAAAAAAATCTCATTTCTTTACTTGAGTACGTGAGTTAAGCATTAAACAATACAATTTCAACAGGGAACGTGGTACAGCATAAGATAGAATATAGCCTTCGTATCGGTGAGCCCAGTCCTTCAATATTGCAAGCATATACAGCATCACTTCTCTTAAAAACACATCCAGCTCCCTTTCAAAAAGCATCATCTATCTTTAAAGGCTATTCCAGATACTAATTTCCTGAAACCTTCTAATTTCCACTTAAGCCTGTGCTCATCTGATCTTGGTTAACATCACTCTCTACCTTAAAAACCTTTCTTTCCTTCAACAGATACAGAACTCTTGCCAAGCATAGCTGTGCTGAACTAAACAAACCAAGTTCTCAATCTCCTCATGAAATTGACCCTTATCTAATCCCTCCAGTTAAGTCAACTCTGCACTTGTTCTAATTTGAATTTATTTTTCTTGAATGCTGACAAATAAAATCACAGACTACACTGCAGGAAAAGTTTGTTCCAATTTGTCTTATAAAAGAAAAAAAAGTCTGACATATGTACTTAGTTCTTTTGAAAATAACCTGAGATAACTACTACAACATTTGACAAGTTCATGAGTATCAAATTTACAATCATCATCTCCTAATTTGTGCATTTCCTATCTTTCTGTGCTGCTTCAAACAGGTGTTCTTTACGTCTTCTTTTTAAACTATTAAATTCTGTTTCCATTACACCAGCTGTTGAGGCCATCTATTTCATCCTGTACAAAATTATTCCTCTGTATGAATGATCCCACACAACTGTGTGTGAACAGTAACTTTCATTACTACAGTCAACATTTTGGCAAAAAAAATTATTAATACTATTGGTCCTCATAACTCCTTACCTAGCTCCCAGAATTTCAAAATGGTGGTTTTGAAATAAAACTTCATGGCTTTTTCCATTTGTTTATCCTTCTGCTTCATATGGATTGAATTACTTGCTCCAAATTTTCACTCTTCTGTAACCTACTCACTACTTAAAATAAATGCTATAAATGTAATCTTTAATGATATCATATAAAAGACCATGATGAACAAACACCATGATCGCCAGCTGATTAAACTTATTAACTATCACTTCTGGCAATAACTAGAAATTACAGTTACATCATTTTTGAAACAAACATCTAACCTAGTTTGTGACTTAAAAATTAATGTCTTCCAGGACAACGCATTCCAGATATTACCAGAGGTATCAGCATTGTTAGGGAACTGCAGTCATCATTCAGATCTATTCTTGGCAACTACAGACAGAACCACAGAACTGACTTAGCAGCTCTTCTACCTGCACACTCTGCAATATTATTTTCATTCTAACCAACTCTTTTACCCTCACTACTCCTTGCAACAGTTATCGTTCATCTCAATATTGATGTAAAGTCCTATCTCATCCCACTGACATATGCAAACTTCAATCAT